CAAGCACCTATGCTGGAGCCGTGTGCGGTCTCTGTGGGAACTTCAATGGGGACAAGGGAGATGAGTTGACCATGAGGGGCGGCACATTGGCCCCAAACCCAACGGCCTTTGGGCAGAGCTGGAAGGTGAAGGATATCCCCGGCTGTGTGGAGGTTGCCAAGAACGAGTGCTCAGATCTTGAAGCTGTTGAGAGACGCCAACGAGGAATGAATGGGGAGTGCGGGATCCTCCTAGACAAGAGTGGCCCCTTCCGAGAGTGTCACAGCAAAGTCGACCCCGAGGACTACTTCCAAGACTGCGTGTACGACTATTGCTTCTTCAAAGGCCAACAAGCTGTGATATGCCAGCTTATCACTAGCTATGCTGCAGCCTGCCAGGCCGCCGGGGTGACTATATATGCCTGGAGGACCAACTCCTTCTGCAGTAAGTGGAAGCAGCTTGGGACTGTCTTCTGTGATGAAAGTTAATGCACGAGGGAAAGAAAACAGGGTCTTTGCTCAAGGGCAAGACAAGTTGGTTGGTGTTCAGGGAAGGGGATATGAGCTGTTTCTGCCCTAGCAGGTGCGGGCTCTGATCTAGCCCCAGGGTGGGGGGACTGGCCAGCTCAGGGTGGACATGGGAGAGGATATGGGGCTTTTCCCCTCTAGGGGGCACCAGCTCTGATCTGATCCCAAGACAGGGGAACGGACTGGCTCACAGGCAGGGAAATGGAATTTGGGGCCTGTCCCCTAGAGGGTGCGAATTCCAATCCAGGCCCTGCCTGGGGGCAAGAAGTTGACTCAGTGTGGGTTGTCCAGGGAATGGGATATAGGGCCTGTATTTCACGAGCATGTGAATCTTATGCAGGTCCTTATTGTACGAATGAGCCTGTCACAGAGCTCATGGTAATAACTGGAGGTAAATATACCTGAGCTGCCAGTGTTAGAAAAGGTCAAGAGCTGAACGGGCCATGGAGACTGAACTCTTCTCTCTCAAGGGGTCCTGCAACGACATATTGGCAAGGCACAGTATGAAGGAATTTTGCTCAGCAGCTTCCTATACTGCACCCAACAGACTCCATTCTCCAGGGCTGTCATCAGGCTCCCTTCCTCAGCCCTTACATAGTTACATAGTTCAGAATCCATCTAGTTTTCTTTTTTGGGATGCTAAAGTCTTGTTGTTTCAATGGCAGGTCTCTCCTGTGCCCAAAACAGCCACTACGAGGTCTTGCGCCCAGGGCTGCCAGTCCACCTGCAGCAGCCTCTATGCCCCAGTTCAGTGCTCTACCCAGTGCTGGGAAGGCTGCGTGTGCAATGAGGGCTTTGTGCTCAGCGGTGATGAGTGTGTCCCTATATCCCAGTGTGGCTGTGTCTACCTGGGATTTTATTATAAAGCTGGGGAGACCTTCCACCCAACGTGCCAGGAGCAGTGTGTGTGCCAGGCCAGCGGAGATGTGGTGTGTAAGGGGTTGTCCTGCCGCCCTAATGAGGAGTGCAAGCTGGTGAATGGTATCCGGAAATGCCACCCTGTCGGATCCGCAACGTGTTCTGCTGCCGGAGACCCCCACTACCTCTCCTTCGACGGAGTTGCCTTCGATTTCCAAGGCACCTGCACCTACATCCTGGCCAAGACCTGCGCTGACGCTGGGAACCTGACATCCTTCTCCGTGAAGGTGGAGAACAAGCCCTGGGGCAACGGGAAGGTGTCTGTCACCAAGCTGGTGTCCGTGGAGGTCTACGGGCTCACGCTCACCCTGCTGCAGAACAGGAAGGGGCTCGTCATGGTAAGTCCTGCTCAAGATGTTCCTGCAATGGGGCAGCCCCACTGATGTGGCAATGCAAGGGGCACTTGTCTCCTGGGTCACTCATTAGGAGCGCACAGGCAGGAGGGGTCAGACATTCAGGTTCTGATCCTGACCTTACTGGCACCAGTGCCAGTCTAGAGGCATCCCACTGAAGAAAGCAGAATCGCTCTGGATTTTCTCTGGGACAAGTGAGATCATAATCCAGCCCTCAGCATATTACGCTCAGTGGATGATTGCAGAGTAAGCCCAGGGATCTGAGATCAGAAATGGCCATAATTTCATTGAGTTCAGTGGAGTCACAACAGATTTGCCCAGGTGTCATCGAGACCCTATCTTGTGCCCATAGCCCACCCCAACAACATCCACTGCCCCGGCTCACAGGGAATACTCTGTGTCTTCCAGGTGGACGGGGTGTCCCACAACCTGCCTGTGATCGTGGCCGATGGGCAGCTCCGAGCGTATCAGCACGGCAGGAACGTCCTTGTGCAAACTGACTTCGGCCTCACCGTGAGCTACGACCTGGTTTACCAGGCCAGAGTCACTGTCCCAGGGAACTACCAGGGCCAGACGTGCGGCCTGTGCGGGAACTACAATGGTCGTCGGGACGACGAGTTCCTGCTCCCCGACGGCAGCGCGGCCCCTAACGTGGCAGCCTTTGGTTCCGCCTGGAAAGTCCCGATCCCGGGGGTGGCCTGTGACGACGGATGCGCCGGGAACAGCTGCCCGGTCTGCAAGGAGAAGAAGAAGGAGTTCTTCAAACAGCGCAACTACTGCGGGCTGCTCACGGCCCCCGACGGCCCCTTCGCCTCCTGCCACGGCACGGTCAGCCCCAGCGTGTATTTCAACAACTGCCTGTATGATGTGTGCTTGGGCAACGGGGACTCCCAGGTCCTGTGCCAGAGCATCCACAGCTACGTGACGGCCTGCCAAGAGGCCGGGGCCCCTGTCCAGCCCTGGAGGAGCGCCTCCTTCTGCCGTAAGTGCCGCGATGCTGGTGTAGCAGAAGGGCCTATCCCACTCGCTCCCCTCCCGCTGGGGGGCGGGGAGAGCGATTCTAGGTATCTCATTCCAGGCCTCTGGGCTTCTTGAGAGACTCCTTTGGGTGGGAACCAACAAGGTCATATTCCCTTATAAAGGTGACCTGGTCCTCTCGTCCCTGTCAGATTCTCCTCTCCTTCATGTCTGTCCCTCTGAGCCTGAGGTGGGCAAACTACAACCCGTGGGCCACACCCGGCCCACTGGACCCTCCTGCCCGGCCCCTGAGCTCCTGGCCCGGGAGGCTTGCCCGGCGCCATGCTCTGGGAGGCAGGGCGGTGAGCTCCTGGGGCAGCGTAGCTGCGGAGCCCGGCCTGACCCGGTCTCTGTGCTGCGCTGTGTGTGGCTGGCTCCAGCCGGGCTGCGCTGTGTGTGGCTGTAGCACCGGCAGCCAGGCAGCGTGGTAAGGGGGCAGGGAGCCGGGGGGTTGGATAGTGGGAGGGGAGTTTGAGGTGGTGGTCGGGGGTCGCAGTGCGGATAGGGGTCGGGGGCGGTCAGAAGGCGGGGAACAGGGGGGTTGAATGGGTGCAGGGGTCTCTGGGGGAGGAAGTCATGAAGGAGAGGGGGTTGGATGGGGCGGCAGGAGTCAGTCAGGGACGGGGGATCTGGGGACAGTCAGGGGACAGGAAGAAGGGGTGGTTGGATGGGGCAGGAGTCCAGGGTGGGAGGGGGCTGTCAGGGGACCAGAAGCAGGGGGGCGTGGATAGCGGGTGGCGGCCGGGCCACGCCCCCTCCCCTAACCAGCCCTCCATACAATTTCCAAAACCCGATGCCGCCCTCAGGCCAAAAAGTTTGCCCGCCCCTGCTCTAAGTTGTGGGCTGAGATCTCTCCAGCCATCAGTTGCTTCTTTCTCTGCCTTAGCTCTGCGCTGCCCGGCCAACAGTCACTACGAGGTGTGCGCCGACCTCTGCACCACCACCTGTGCCAGGATCACCGACGCCAGGAAGTGCCCAGACACCTGCGCCGAAGGCTGCCAGTGCGACGATGGCTTCCTCTTCGATGGCCAGGGCTGCGTGGCTCTGCAGAGCTGTGGGTGCTTCAAGAAGGGGATATATTACCAGGTACCGCCCCCTGCTGGGGTGTTAACTCCTATCCAGTCACGTCCTTCACGCCCTGCTCTCATCAGCCATGTTGGATCAGACCATTGTCGGTTGCCAATGGCAATACATGAATCTCTGTTGAAAGGCACTAATGGCACAATCCTGGTTCCATGAACCGTGTCTCTGGCAGGGCGGTGGAGTCTAGTGGTTAGAGCAGGGAGCTGGAAGTCAGGACTCCTCGGTTCTCTCCCCAGCTCCGGGAAGGCAGTCGTGCCAAGTGGAGTAGAGCGGCTGCGGACTGGGAGATAAGACACTCGGTTCTAGTCCCAGATATGGCCTCCCTGTAAATGAACATCTCCGCACTGAAAAACTACCGTTCCCCGGGCTACATTGTGTTCTTTGCCCTTTTTTCAAACAGCCTAATGAGACGGTTCTGACCAACAAGTGCCAGCAAAGCTGCACCTGCACTCCTGCCCAAGGGGTGACCTGCGAAGCCCACAGCTGCACCAGGGATGAAACCTGTCAGATCAGAGATGGAGTCATGCAATGCATCAACAGAGGTGAAAGAGAGTGCAAGAGTTAAACAAGAAGAGAGGTGGACGTAGAGATAGAGAGTCCTTAGAGCAGACTCAGTGGAGTCAGGACAGCCGAGGAGCTGGCGCAGAGTAGAGTTTCCATCCTTAGATCTAGGAAGCGAGTGGGGACTAGTGGTTAGAGCAGGGGGGTTTGTGAGCCTGGACTCCTGGGTTCTATTCACAGCTCTGGGAGGGGTGGGGGCAGGTTACATGGTGGGTTCTCTGGGTTGGAGCCGATGGGCTGGGAGGCAGGCTATGTCAAATCAAGTCATTGATTCTCTCCTGGGCTTTGGACCAGGCACTTGACTGTCAAGAGGTAAAGAAAAGTATCCTCTGGGCCTGCCGCTTTGGTCAAAGGTTGAGGTCCTTACTTGACCTATTTACTTAATCCCTACTCAGGCAGAGCTTTTACAGGAAACCATCTCCCGTTGACTCCTCTCTGGTTGGCCCCTCTTCCGAATGGCTTTGGGTGGGTAACTGGGCCTGTGCTGAACCGAGCTCCCCTGCCCCCCTAGCCCTCACTCTCACGGATTGCTGGGATTTCTCTCCTTTCAGATCCCTGCAAAGTCCTGACATGTCGGGCCAAGGAGACGTGCAAGGTCCAGAACGGCCGTGCGATGTGCGTTCCCAACTTCATTGGAACCTGCTGGGGCTGGGGGGACCCGCACTATCACACCTTCGACGGGCTGAACTTCAACTTCCAGGGCACCTGCACCTACACCCTGGCCAAGTACTGCGGGAGCGACAACACCCTGGTGCCCTTCACCATCGATGAGAAGAACGACAACAGGGGAGGCAACCAGGCTGTCTCCTACGTGCGCCTGACCAACATCTACGTCTATGGCTACAACATCTCCATCTACAAGAAGGAAGTTGGGAAAATCAGAGTGAGTACAAAAGTGCAAAAATGATTGGAGAGCTTGCATTTGGAATAAAAATATCTCCCTATGGGTACATCCATACCCATACACATCTACCTATCCATCCATCCATCCGCATACCCATCTGTCTATATCTCTGTCTATCCTTCCCCATACATATGCATCCATCTTACCATCCAGGCCAAGACAAATCTGTCAATCCATCTGTCAGGATACACATCTATCCGTCCCTCTGTTTGTCCCCATATAGATCTCTCTTTCTCTCCACCCAGCCCATACACATCAATGCGTTTCTCAATCTATCACCATACACATCTGCTTTTTCTCCATCGATCTATCCAACCATCCCCATACACAGCTATCTATCTCTCTGTGCTGGTTGAAGACCAATTTTCTTTTGGAAAATGTCAACATCTCTTTTCTTCCATTCATACAAATGGGCCAGTACTTTTGTTTGTTTCTTTTTCAAGAATTTCTGCTGAATCAGGTCCTTTGTTTTGAAATAGGTATTTTTTTTAAAAAAAGAAATGATATTTAGAAATTTTAAAATAGAAATTTTTCCAGATTATCAGAAAGAAAATCCCCTTTTTGTGATCTCCAAGTGGCCATGAAAAGAAACAAGATCGAAAATGACAACATTCCAAAAGAAGAACAGAATAAGCGAGAAATGAACCGATTTAAAATTATCTGCTCCGGGCCCCTGGGCCCTCCCAATTCACCTGGGCAATCTTGCCTCCATGGACCACATAGGATCCCCCAGTCAGCCTAGGTCCCCCAGAACTCTTGTTCTACCAGTCTCCCCATGTCGCGGGATCCCTCCAGGCCGCACAGGCTAAACAGTTCCTGTCTTCCTTCTACAACTCTCTCGCTCTCTCTCTCTAGCTCTTTGGTTTTGTACTGCCGCCCATCACCATAGGAGCCAACCATCCTCTACATAACATGTACTGACCAGAGTAAAGTCTCTGCTCCAATCCATGGAGCTTCTGGCTTTTCTCCTCTTTTTGGGGTAGAAAAATCTCCACTTGCAGTAGGATTTTGTGGTGAGCTGGGTGGGTTTCAAGCTGTGAATATCACTGCTTCGTTCTTGTCAGGAAGCTTTATTAAAGGGGAGTCCGGGTCACACTCTGGATTTATCTAATCTGCACTGGGAATTCATTCCACAGCCAGATCCCCTGGACAGAGAACATTTGATCTCTGAGGACTCAAGTGCTTAATTGGGGCTTTCTAATCTTTCTTGTCCCAGAGGAGCAGAACTCTTGGAAGAGGTGAGATGAAAAGAGAAATAACCGTTGGTTCTTTCCTCCTATCTCTAGATCAATGACGTGACCACCAGCTTGCCGGTGACCCTGGAAGACGGTAAAATCAAGCTCTACCAGAGCGGTCTCAGTGCTATCCTGCGGACAGACTTTGGTCTGCAGGTGTCGTATGACTGGAATTGGCACCTGATCATCACCCTCCCCAGCAGCTATTATGGGGCCATGGGCGGCCTTTGTGGGAACTTCAACCAAAAGCGTGGAGATGACATGACGTCACCCAATGGCACCCGAGTCTCTTCCATCGTGGAGTGGGCCAGGAGCTGGAAAGTCAAAGACCGGGACCCCTTCTGCTGGGATGATTGCAAAGGGACATGCCCGACGTGCGATAAGAGCAAGCAGAAGATCTACGGGGGCGACGAATATTGTGGTTTGATCAGCAAAAGACCAGGAGGGCCCTTCAGAGAGTGTCACTCCAAAGTGCGCCCCCAGGACATTTTTGACAGCTGCATCTACGACGTGTGTCTGAACGGGGGAGCCAAGAACATCCTGTGCCAGGCGCTGGAGGCCTATGCAGCCATCTGCAAGAAACAGGGCATCACCGTCTATGACTGGAGGACACCGTCCGGCTGCGGTGAGCTCGGTGGTTTGTTTTTTTTATTGACAAAAGCAGCAATTAGACTAGAGTTACTGTGCTGCTTGAGGAGATGGCCAGTGGGCGGAGTGTCAGGGCAGACACCAGGCCTAGATCCTGCACCTTGGCAACTAGACACCATGGGGATGTGGGCTTGAGAAGCCCCTATAAGAGACTAGCTAGATTGAGAATCGATGGACACATGGTTTTCATAGATTGGGTTAGATGAGAGAAAGGAAGAGTCTCCAAATATTGTTAGGAGGATGGATTAGATGAATAGGGAGATTAAACAGGTTTAATAGATTGGTAGATGGATTAGATGGATTGGGTGATTAAATAGATTCACTGGAGGATACGTGGATAAAATGGATGGAGAGATTAAATGGGTGTAATAGACGGGTAGGTGGGTTCGATGGATAGAGAGATAAAGAGATTTAATGGATGGATAAATGGATTAGGTGCACGGGGAGATAAAGTCAATTAGAGGTAAAGATTGGTCGATTGGATGCTGAGCCAGAGGGACGGCTGGCTAAACGGGGGGGAGGGATAGCTCAGTGGTTTGAGCATTGGCCTGCTAAACCCTGGGTTGTGAGTTCAATCCTTGAGGGGGCCATTTCGGGGGCAAAACTTGGGGGATTGGTCCTGCTTTGAGCAGGGGGTTGGATTAGATGACCTCCTGAGGTTCCTTCCAAGCTTGATATTCTATGATTCCATGATTAGGTTCTAGATTAAACAGATATAGATACTCCTGGATGTACACATCAATTAGATGGAGGCAACGACAAAGATTTATTACAATCTAATGTAAAGAAAATCTCACTTCCGCACTTCAAAGAAGGGGTGTTCAGCAATGTGTAAGAGGGATGTAAGTGAAGAATAGAAAAGCGGGATGGATTTGGTGGGTGAAGTGTCTGGAAGAGAGGGATGGATCAGAAAGCGATGGAAAGATGGACCCATCCGAAATACTACCTGAAAATACAGGGTCCCAACCCAGTAGGATCTCCTGAGTCTTTCCACTTCCGCGGGACGTGTGCTGAGTCTGAGGTCATCTGGCGTGGGCGGGGCTCCAGAGGAGGCCTTGACAAGTGAGGTCTCATCTGCTCTGGGTGCACTTTGCAGATTTTCTTGGATTTTCTATACAAAGAGAGCATTTCCCTGCTCTCCCAGCTAGCAAACTCCTTTTGCCCAACGGGGTTGTTCCCTGTGCTGTACTCCAGAGGTGGCCTTAGTGTGGCTGCTTGTACATCGGGCCTGTGATATAGAGGATGCCGATTGCACATTAGAATTTCTCTCTAGCTCTTGCTGCATGTAAGCAGGTGTTTTTAGTTCATTTCCTGTGATGTTAAATCTCCCCCTCTCTGACCCCCTCCCAGTCCTGCCCTGCCCTGAGAACAGCCACTACGAGGCCTGTGGGAACGCCTGCCCGGCCAGCTGCTCCGACCAAACCGCCAACTCCTCCTGCCTGGAGCCCTGCGTGGAGACCTGCCAGTGCGACAACGGTTACGTCCTGAGTGCCGGCCAGTGTGTCCCCGTGGAGAGCTGTGGCTGTGACTACAATGGCCGCTACTACAAACCCAACGAGGAGTTCTGGGCCGATGAGAACTGCCTCTCTCGGTGCAGATGTGATCCCAGCTTGGGCATGGTGCTTTGCCAGGAGACCGGCTGCAAGGCCAGCGAGAGATGCGCCGTGATCAACGGGGTCCGTGGCTGCTCCCCAATCAGCTACTCCACCTGCACGGCCTCCGGAGACCCTCACTACACCACCTTCGACGGGAAAAAGTACGATTTCATGGGCACCTGCATCTACCTTCTGGCTGGGGTCTGCTCCGAGGACCCCACGCTCACCCCATTCAACATCAAGGTGGAGAATAACAACCGCGGCAGCAAGGCCGTGTCCTACACCAAAGTGGTGACCTTGGAGGTCTACGGTAGAAACATCACTGTCAGCCAGCAATATCCCCGCAAGATCAAGGTAGGGACGGAGAGCCACAGGACTACAGTCAACAGGGTGCCCTTGTTGCCAAGAAGGCCAATGGCATTTTGGGATGTATAAGTAGGGGCATTGCCAGCAGATCAAGGGATGTGATCGTTCCCCTCTATTCCATATTGGTGAGGCCTCATCTGGAGTACTAGTGTCCAGTTTTGGGCCCCACACTAGAAGAAGGATGTGGAAAAATTGGAAAACGCCCAGCGGAGGGCAAGAAAAATGATTAGGGGACTGGAACACATGACTTATGAGGAGAGGCTGAGGGAACTGGGATTGTTTAGTCTGCGGAAGAGAAGAATGAGGGGGGATTTGAGAGCTGCTTTCAACTACCTGAAAGGGGGTTCCAAAGAGGATGGATCTAGACTGTTCTCAGTGGTAGCAGATGACAGAATGAGGAGTAATGGTCTCAAGTTGCAGTGAGGGAGGTTTAGGTTGGCTATTAGGAAAAACTTTTTCACTAGGAGTGTTGTGAAACACTGGAATGCGTTACCTCGGGAGGTGGTGGAATCTCCTTCCTTCGAAGATTTTAAGGTCAGGCTTGACAAAGCCCTGGCTGGGATGATTTAGTTGGGGATTGGTCCTGCTTTGAGCAGGGGCTCGGACTAGATGACCTCCTGAGGTCCCTTCCAACCCTGATATTCTATGATTCTATGACTTCTCGGGGAGCTGTGAGCAGGAACTCTTGCTGTTGATGATACATTACCCATTATTTCTCTCCCCGTTTCAGAAAGGAGACCTGCGTCCATTGTACACTGAGCTGGTGGTGGGTGTGTGGGAAGGAACTGAGTGCCTCTTTGTGAATATATAGGGCAGGATTTTCTCCTCTCCATCAGGGCCGTTTTGCCACTGTAACTGCTGTGCATTCAACTGACTCACTCATTTAGCTGGGGATCGGGTCCCATTCCCTCCACAGGAGCTATGGCCAATTCCCACCAGCTGGGGATCTGGCCCCATTGACTCCAGGGGAGTCAACACCCTAAAAGCTTCCTCCACTAAAGTACTTGATCCTGACTTCTGTTGCGCGAAGGCCCTTTCCAGGTATCTGACAGCAGAAAGTTGGGAGTCAACCGCATTTACACTGCCCAAGGGGTGTGAGAGAGTCTTAGGGCTGTTTCCAAATAAACTGCTAATGTGGCACAATGGACTTGCCGTAGCTGCGGCGCTTCAGTGAAGAGGCTGCCAATGCCAATGGCAGGAGTTCTCCCATTGGTGTAGGTAAGACACCTTCACAAGAGGCACTCGCTAGGTTGACAGGAGAATTCTCCCGTTGACCTGGCAACGTCTACACCAGGGGTCAGGTCAGTTTAACTGCGTGGGTCAGGGGTGTGGAGTTTTCACACCCCGGAGCGATAGTGATACTGCCCTAATTTACTAGTGTAGAGCAGGCCTTCGTGTAATTGGGAATTCAGACCATCCCCAAGACGTCTGTTCCAGATAGACAGGCTCTTTGTGAACCTGTCCTGCAAAGCTGCTCTCATCGCTAGACCCCACTCCCTGACCAGAGCTGGGGTTAGAACCCAAGAGTCCTAGCTCCCAGCCGCCGCGCTCCAACCACTGCCCTCCCAGAGTTGAGGATAGGAGCCAGGAATCCTGATTCCCATCCCCCTCTGCTGTAACCCACCACATCTCAATCCTCTCCCGGAACGGGGGATAGGACTCAGGAGTCCTGGCTCCCAGCCTCCCCTGCTCAAAGCTACTAGGCCCCACCCCATTTCTTCCCTTCCCTTCGCCACCCCTCCCTGAGCCAGGAATAAAACCCAGGAGTCCTGGGTCCCCACCTTCTGCCTGCAGTATTCATTCAAAATTAACCCCTGGCCCTGCCGCGTCTGTTCCAGGTGGACGGAGTCTTTGTGGCCCTGCCTTTCTACCATGAGGAGAAGCTACAGGCTTACGTCAGCGGAGCCCAAGTCCTCATCAAGACCGCCTTCGCGCTGAGGGTGACCTTCGACGGGAGCCTGGTCCGGGTCACTGTGCCCAACACCTACGCCAACGCCCTCTGCGGCCTGTGCGGTGACAACAACCAAACTGCCAGTGACGACCTGACCATGAGAGACGGGAGACGGGCAGCCAACGCCGTCCAGTTCGCAGAGAGCTGGAAGGTGGGGGAGGTCCCGGGCTGCTCAGACAGCTGCACCGGGAAGTGCCTGGTCTGCAGTGAGGCTCAGAGACAACCCTACAAGGGAGATCGGTACTGCGGGGTCATCACCAGAGGGGACGGACCGTTCAGAGAGTGCCACGGAGTCATCGACCCAGCCCCTTTCTTCGACGACTGCGTCTTTGACACCTGCCAGTACAAGGGTCTCCGGGATGCTCTCTGCAGTGCCATCAGCGCCTACGTGATGGCCTGCCAGGCCAGGGGCATCCGGATGGGGCAGTGGAGATCAGCCTCATTCTGCAGTGAGTGTCGCCTACTAGAATCTGCTTTAAGGACTGGCTAGTCTCCATGTGCAGCACCCTCTGCAGGGGGCTCAGAAGGGCTCAGCCGTGTGTCTCTGGCCTTACACACCTATCAGCTTGCAGTAGTGTTGCCAACCGTAAAGGTCACCTACTCAGCTTTGCTTTATCTTTGTGCTATAGCAATGTAATCCTGTCTCCTTGCTGGCACCTGTCTCCCAGGGGTTGGAAATACTTTGCCAACACTAGAATCATAGAATCATAGAATATCAGGGTTGGAAGGGACCTCAGGAGGTCATCTAGTCCAACCCACTAGTCGTCCTTCCCGTCAGGGTGCAGGAAAACGGACACCGAAAGAACTAAAGCAAGTAACTCAGAGTCACCCGAGAAGCCAGTGGCAGAAGCCAGGTATCCTGACTCCCAGTCCTCCATCACTAAACATTACACAGCAGCCCACTCCAGAATTTGGGACTCACCTTGCAACACGTCCCCTTGTCTGCAGCTCTTACCACTAGACCAAACGCCCCTCCAAGAGTCCGAAAGAAAACCCCGGAGTCCTGACTCCTTCCCAGCCCTTCTGGGACTAAGCTACTAGATCCTCATCCCTTCCCAGAGCTGGCAATAGAACCCAGAAAACCTGATTGCAAGCCCTCCAGCTCTGATTTGCTAGATCCCTTTGACTGCTCACAGCAAGGAATAGAACCCAGGAGCCCTGAGTGCTAATCTCCCCTGCTTTTAACCGCTAGACGCCACTGTCCCCCCAGAGCCAATGACAGAGCCTAGCAGTCCTGGCTCCCAGCCCTCCCTGCTCTAAGCCAGGGAACCCCACTTCCCGCCCTGAACCATGACTAGAACCCAGGAGTTTTGGCTCCCAGTTCCCGCCAACAACACGATTGTAAGTGATACCTGCACATTTTCTTCTGGTGGTGCATTAATTTAAGAAGCTTTCTCTCACGGCCATCTGCACGTTCCCTCTGCCCCTCTCCTACAGGTCCCACCTGCCCCAGTAACTTCCACTACGAGCTCTGTGGGAGCGGCTGCCCTGCCACCTGCCACGGGCTCTCGGCGCCGGACGGCTGCGATGCCCCCTGTGCCGAAGGGTGTTTCTGCGACGCCGGGTTCCTCCTGAGCGGAGACCGGTGCGTCCCCGTCGTGCAGTGCGGCTGTGTGCACCAGGGCAGGTACTACAGGAAGGGAGAGGAGTTCTACGCCAGCGCCTCCTGCCGGGAGCGGTGCCGGTGCCAAGACAACGGGGTCGTCCAGTGTCGGGAGGCCTCCTGTGGAGCCAACGAGCAGTGCAAGGTGGCGGATGGCGTCCGGAAATGCCACCCTGTCGGATCTGCAACGTGTTCTGCTGCCGGAGACCCCCACTACCTCTCCTTCGACGGAGTTGCCTTCGATTTCCAAGGCACCTGCACCTACATCCTGGCCAAGACCTGCGCTGACGCCGGGAACCTGACATCCTTCTCCGTGAAGGTGGAGAACAAGCCCTGGGGCAATGGCAAGGTGTCTGTCACCAAGCTGGTGTCCGTGGAGGTCTACGGGCTCACGCTTACCCTGCTGCAGAACAGGAAGGGGCTCGTCATGGTAAGTCCTGCTCAAGATGTTCCTGCAATGGGGCAGCCCCACTGATGTGGCAATGCAAGGGGCACTTGTCTCCTGGGTCACTCATTAGGAGTGCACAGGCAGGAGGGGTCAGACATTCAGGTTCTGATCCTGACCTTACTGGCACCAGTGCCAGTCTAGAGGCATCCCACTGAAGAAAGCAGAATCGCTCTGGATTTTCTCTGGGACAAGTGAGATCATAATCCAGCCCTCAGCGTATTACGCTCAGTGGATGATTGCAGAGTAAGCCCAGGGATCTGAGATCAGAAATGGCCATAATTTCATTGAGTTCAGTGGAGTCACAACAGATTTGCCCAGGTGTCATCGAGACCCTATCTTGTGCCCATAGCCCACCCCAACAACATCCACTGCCCCGGCTCACAGGGAATACTCTGTGTCTTCCAGGTGGACGGGGTGTTCCACAACCTGCCTGTGATCGTGGCCGATGGGCAGCTCCGAGCGTATCAGCACGGCAGGAACGTCCTTGTGCAAACTGACTTCGGCCTCACCGTGAGCTACGACCTGGTTTACCAGGCCAGAGTCACTGTCCCGGGGAACTACCAGGGCCAGACGTGCGGCCTGTGCGGGAACTACAATGGTCGTCGGGACGACGAGTTCCTGCTCCCCGACGGCAGCGCGGCCCCTAACGTGGCAGCCTTTGGTTCCGCCTGGAAAGTCCCGATCCCGGGGGTGGCCTGTGACGACGGATGCGCCGGGAACAGCTGCCCGGTCTGCAAGGAGAAGAAGAAGGAGTTCTTCAAACAGCGCAACTTCTGCGGGCTGCTCATGGCCCCCGACGGCCCCTTCGCCTCCTGCCACGGCATGGTCAGCCCCAGCGTGTATTTCAACAACTGCCTGTATGATGTGTGCTTGGGCAACGGGGACTCCCAGGTCCTGTGCCAGAGCATCCACAGCTACGTGACGGCCTGCCAAGAGGCCGGGGCCCCTGTCCAGCCCTGGAGGAGCGCCTCCTTCTGCCGTAAGTGCCGCGATGCTGGTGTAGCAGAAGGGCCTATCCCACTCGCTCCCCTCCCGCTGGGGGGCGGGGAGAGCGATTCTAGGTATCTCATTCCAGGCCTCTGGGCTTCTTGAGAGACTCCTTTGGGTGGGAACCAACAAGGTCATATTCCCTTATAAAGGTGACCTGGTCCTCTCGTCCCTGTCAGATTCTCCTCTCCTTCATGTCTGTCCCTCTGAGCCTGAGGTGGGCAAACTACAACCCGTGGGCCACACCCGGCCCACTGGATCCTCCTGCCCGGCCCCTGAGCTCCTGGCCCGGGAGGCTTGCCCGGCGCCATGCTCTGGGAGGCAGGGCGGTGAGCTCCTGGGGCAGCGTAGCTGCGGAGCCCGGCCTGACCCGGTCTCTGTGCTGCGCTGTGTGTGGCTGGCTCCAGCCGGGCTGCGCTGTGTGTGGCTGTAGCACCGGCAGCCAGGCAGCGTGGTAAGGGGGCAGGGAGCCGGGGGGTTGGATAGTGGGAGGGGAGTTTGAGGTGGTGGTCGGGGGTCGCAGTGCGGATAGGGGTCGGGGCGGTCAGAAGGCGGGGAACAGGGGGGTTGAATGGGTGCAGGGGTCTCTGGGGGAGGAAGTCATGAAGGAGAGGGGGTTGGATGGGGCGGCAGGAGTCAGTCAGGGACGGGGGATCTGGGGACAGTCAGGGGACAGGAAGAAGGGGTGGTTGGATGGGGCAGGAGTCCAGGGTGGGAGGGGGCTGTCAGGGGACCAGAAGCAGGGGGGCGTGGATAGCGGGTGGCGGCCGGGCCACGCCCCCCTCCCCTAACCAGCCCTCCATACAATTTCCAAAACCCGATGCCGCCCTCAGGCCAAAAAGTTTGCCCGCCCCTGCTCTAAGTTGTGGGCTGAGATCTCTCCAGCCATCAGTTGCTTCTTTCTCTGCCTTAGCTCTGCGCTGCCCGGCCAACAGTCACTACGAGGTGTGCGCCGACCTCTGCACCACCACCTGTGCCAGGATCACCGACGCCAGGAAGTGCCCAGACACCTGCGCCGAAGGCTGCCAGTGCGACGATGGCTTCCTCTTCGATGGCCAGGGCTGCGTGGCTCTGCAGAGCTGTGGGTGCTTCAAGAAGGGGATATATTACCAGGTACCGCCCCCTGCTGGGGTGTTAACTCCTATCCAGTCACGTCCTTCACGCCCTGCTCTCATCAGCCATGTTGGATCAGACCATTGTCGGTTGCCAATGGCAATACATGAATCTCTGTTGAAAGGCACTAATGGCACAATCCTGGTTCCATGAACCGTGTCTCTGGCAGGGCGGTGGAGTCTAGTGGTTAGAGCAGGGAGCTGGAAGTCAGGACTCCTCGGTTCTCTCCCCAGCTCCGGGAAGGCAGTCGTGCCAAGTGGAGTAGAGCGGCTGCGGACTGGGAGATAAGACACTCGGTTCTAGTCCCAGATATGGCCTCCCTGTAAATGAACATCTCCGCACTGAAAAACTACCGTTCCCCGGGCTACATTGTGTTCTTTGCCCTTTTTTCAAACAGCCTAATGAGACGGTTCTGACCAACAAGTGCCAGCAAAGCTGCACCTGCACTCCTGCCCAAGGGGTGACCTGCGAAGCCCACAGCTGCACCAGGGATGAAACCTGTCAGATCAGAGATGGAGTCATGCAATGCATCAACAGAGGTGAAAGAGAGTGCAAGAGTTAAACAAGAAGAGAGGTGGACGTAGAGATAGAGAGTCCTTAGAGCAGACTCAGTGGAGTCAGGACAGCCGAGGAGCTGGCGCAGAGTAGAGTTTCCATCCTTAGATCTAGGAAGCGAGTGGGGACTAGTGGTTAGAGCAGGGGGGTTTGTGAGCCTGGACTCCTGGGTTCTATTCACAGCTCTGGGAGGGGTGGGGGCAGGTTACATGGTGGGTTCTCTGGGTTGGAGCCGATGGGCTGGGAGGCAGGCTATGTCAAATCAAGTCATTGATTCTCTCCTGGGCTTTGGACCAGGCACTTGACTGTCAAGAGGTAAAGAAAAGTATCCTCTGGGCCTGCCGCTTTGGTCAAAGGTTGAGGTCCTTACTTGACCTATTTACTTAATCCCTACTCAGGCAGAGCTTTTACAGGAAACCATCTCCCGTTGACTCCTCTCTGGTTGGCCCCTCTTCCGAATGGCTTTGGGTGGGTAACTGGGCCTGTGCTGAACCGAGCTCCCCTGCCCCCCTAGCCCTCACTCTCACGGATTGCTGGGATTTCTCTCCTTTCAGATCCCTGCAAAGTCCTGACATGTCGGGCCAAGGAGACGTGCAAGGTCCAGAACGGCCGTGCGATGTGCGTTCCCAACTTCATTGGAACCTGCTGGGGCTGGGGGGACCCGCACTATCACACCTTCGACGGGCTGAACTTCAACTTCCAGGGCACCTGCACCTACACCCTGGCCAAGTACTGCGGGAGCGACAACACCCTGGTGCCCTTCACCATCGATGAGAAGAACGACAACAGGGGAGGCAACCAGGCTGTCTCCTACGTGCGCCTGACCAACATCTACGTCTATGGCTACAACATCTCCATCTACAAGAAGGAAGTTGGGAAAATCAGAGTGAGTACAAAAGTGCAAAAATGATTGGAGAGCTTGCATTTGGAATAAAAATATCTCCCTATGGGTACATCCATACCCATACACATCTACCTATCCATCCATCCATCCGCATACCCATCTGTCTATATCTCTGTCTATCCTTCCCCATACATATGCATCCATCTTACCATCCAGGCCAAGACAAATCTGTCAATCCATCTGTCAGGATACACATCTATCCGTCCCTCTGTTTGTCCCCATATAGATCTCTCTTTCTCTCCACCCAGCCCATACACATCAATGCGTTTCTCAATCTATCACCATACACATCTGCTTTTTCTCCATCGATCTATCCAACCATCCCCATACACAGCTATCTATCTCTCTGTGCTGGTTGAAGACCAATTTTCTTTTGGAAAATGTCAACATCTCTTTTCTTCCATTCATACAAATGGGCCAGTACTTTTGTTTGTTTCTTTTTCAAGAATTTCTGCTGAATCAGGTCCTTTGTTTTGAAATAGGTATTTTTTTTAAAAAAAAGAAATGATATTTAGAAATTTTAAAATAGAAATTTTTCCAGATTATCAGAAAGAAAATCCCCTTTTTGTGATCTCCAAGTGGCCATGAAAAGAAACAAGATCGAAAATGACAACATTCCAAAAGAAGAACAGAATAAGCGAGAAATGAACCGATTTAAAATTATCTGCTCCGGGCCCCTGGGCCCTCCCAATTCACCTGGGCAATCTTGCCTCCATGGACCACATAGGATCCCCCAGTCAGCCTAGGTCCCCCAGAACTCTTGTTCTACCAGTCTCCCCATGTCGCGGGATCCCTCCAGGCCGCACAGGCTAAACAGTTCCTGTCTTCCTTCTACAACTCTCTCGCTCTCTCTCTCTAGCTCTTTGGTTTTGTACTGCCGCCCATCACCATAGGAGCCAACCATCCTCTACATAACATGTACTGACCAGAGTAAAGTCTCTGCTCCAATCCATGGAGCTTCTGGCTTTTCTCCTCTTTTTGGGGTAGAAAAATCTCCACTTGCAGTAGGATTTTGTGGTGAGTTGGGTGGGTTTCAAGCTGTGAATATCATTGCTTCGTTCTTGTCGGGAAGCTTTATTAAAGGGGAGTCCGGGTCACACTCTGGATTTATCTAATCTGCACTGGGAATTCATTCCACAGCCAGATCCCCTGGACAGAGAACATTTGATCTCTGAGGACTCAAGTGCTTAATTGGGGCTTTCTAATCTTTCTTGTCCCAGAGGAGCAGAACTCTTGGAAGAGGTGAGATGAAAAGAGAAATAACCGTTGGTTCTTTCCTCCTATCTCTAGATCAATGACGTGACCACCAGCTTGCCGGTGACCCTGGAAGACGGTAAAATCAAGCTCTACCAGAGCGGTCTCAGTGCTGTCCTGCGGACAGACTTTGGTCTGCAGGTGTCGTATGACTGGAATTGGCACCTGATCATCACCCTCCCCAGCAGCTATTATGGGGCCATGGGCGGCCTTTGTGGGAACTTCAACCAAAAGCGTGGAGATGACATGACGTCACCCAACGGCACCCGAGTCTCTTCCATCGTGGAGTGGGCCAGGAGCTGGAAAGTCAAAGACAGGGACCCCTTCTGCTGGGATGATTGCAAAGGGACATGCCCGACGTGCGATAAGAGCAAGCAGAAGATCTACGGGGGCGACGAATATTGTGGTTTGATCAGCAAAAGACCAGGAGGGCCCTTCAGAGAGTGTCACTCCAAAGTGCGCCCCCAGGACATTTTTGACAGCTGCATCTACGACGTGTGTCTGAACGGGGGAGCCAAGAACATCCTGTGCCAGGCGCTGGAGGCCTATGCAGCCATCTGCAAGAAACAGGGCATCACCGTCTATGACTGGAGGACACCGTCCGGCTGCGGTGAGCTCGGTGGTTTGTTTTTTTTATTGACAAAAGCAGCAATTAGACTAGAGTTACTGTGCTGCTTGAGGAGATGGCCAGTGGGCGGAGTGTCAGGGCAGACACCAGGCCTAGATCCTGCACCTTGGCAACTAGACACCATGGGGATGTGGGCTTGAGAAGCCCCTATAAGAGACTAGCTAGATTGAGAATCGATGGACACATGGTTTTCATAGATTGGGTTAGATGAGAGAAAGGAAGAGTCTCCAAATATTGTTAGGAGGATGGATTAGATGAATAGGGAGATTAAACAGGTTTAATAGATTGGTAGATGGATTAGATGGATTGGGTGATTAAATAGATTCACTGGAGGATACGTGGATAAAATGGATGGAGAGATTAAATGGGTGTAATAGACGGGTAGGTGGGTTCGATGGATAGAGAGATAAAGAGATTTAATGGATGGATAAATGGATTAGGTGCACGGGGAGATAAAGTCAATTAGAGGTAAAGATTGGTCGATTGGATGCTGAGCCAGAGGGACGGCTGGCTAAACGGGGGGGAGGGATAGCTCAGTGGTTTGAGCATTGGCCTGCTAAACCCTGGGTTGTGAGTTCAATCCTTGAGGGGGCCATTTCGGGGGCAAAACTTGGGGGATTGGTCCTGCTTTGAGCAGGGGGTTGGATTAGATGACCTCCTGAGGTTCCTTCCAAGCTTGATATTCTATGATTCCATGATTAGGTTCTAGATTAAACAGATATAGATACTCCTGGATGTACACATCAATTAGATGGAGGCAACGACAAAGATTTATTACAATCTAATGTAAAGAAAATCTCACTTCCGCACTTCAAAGAAGGGGTGTTCAGCAATGTGTAAGAGGGATGTAAGTGAAGAATAGAAAAGCGGGATGGATTTGGTGGGTGAAGTGTCTGGAAGAGAGGGATGGATCAGAAAGCGATGGAAAGATGGACCCATCCGAAATACTACCTGAAAATACAGGGTCCCAACCCAGTAGGATCTCCTGAGTCTTTCCACTTCCGCGGGACGTGTGCTGAGTCTGAGGTCATCTGGCGTGGGCGGGGCTCCAGAGGAGGCCTTGACAAGTGAGGTCTCATCTGCTCTGGGTGCACTTTGCAGATTTTCTTGGATTTTCTATACAAAGAGAGCATTTCCCTGCTCTCCCAGCTAGCAAACTCCTTTTGCCCAACGGGGTTGTTCCCTGTGCTGTACTCCAGAGGTGGCCTTAGTGTGGCTGCTTGTACATCGGGCCTGTGATATAGAGGATGCCGATTGCACATTAGAATTTCTCTCTAGCTCTTGCTGCATGTAAGCAGGTGTTTTTAGTTCATTTCCTGTGATGTTAAATCTCCCCCTCTCTGACCCCCTCCCAGTCCTGCCCTGCCCTGAGAACAGCCACTACGAGGCCTGTGGGAACGCCTGCCCGGCCAGCTGCTCCGACCAAACCGCCAACTCCTCCTGCCTGGAGCCCTGCGTGGAGACCTGCCAGTGCGACAACGGTTACGTCCTGAGTGCCGGCCAGTGTGTCCCCGTGGAGAGCTGTGGCTGTGACTACAATGGCCGCTACTACAAACCCAACGAGGAGTTCTGGGCCGATGAGAACTGCCTCTCTCGGTGCAGATGTGATCCCAGCTTGGGCATGGTGCTTTGCCAGGAGACCGGCTGCAAGGCCAGCGAGAGATGCGCCGTGATCAACGGGGTCCGTGGCTGCTCCCCAATCAGCTACTCCACCTGCACGGCCTCCGGAGACCCTCACTACACCACCTTCGACGGGAAAAAGTACGATTTCATGGGCACCTGCATCTACCTTCTGGCTGGGGTCTGCTCCGAGGACCCCACGCTCACCCCATTCAACATCAAGGTGGAGAATAACAACCGCGGCAGCAAGGCCGTGTCCTACACCAAAGTGGTGACCTTGGAGGTCTACGGTAGAAACATCACTGTCAGCCAGCAATATCCCCGCAAGATCAAGGTAGGGACGGAGAGCCACAGGACTACAGTCAACAGGGTGCCCTTGTTGCCAAGAAGGCCAATGGCATTTTGGGATGTATAAGTAGGGGCATTGCCAGCAGATCAAGGGATGTGATCGTTCCCCTCTATTCCATATTGGTGAGGCCTCATCTGGAGTACTAGTGTCCAGTTTTGGGCCCCACACTAGAAGAAGGATGTGGAAAAATTGGAAAACGCCCAGCGGAGGGCAAGAAAAATGATTAGGGGACTGGAACACATGACTTATGAGGAGAGGCTGAGGGAACTGGGATTGTTTAGTCTGCGGAAGAGAAGAATGAGGGGGGATTTGATAGCTGCTTTCAACTACCTGAAAGGGGGTTCCAAAGAGGATGGATCTAGACTGTTCTCAGTGGTAGCAGATGACAGAATGAGGAGTAATGGTCTCAAGTTGCAGTGAGGGAGGTTTAGGTTGGCTATTAGGAAAAACTTTTTCACTAGGAGTGTTGTGAAACACTGGAATGCGTTACCTCGGGAGGTGGTGGAATCTCCTTCCTTCGAAGATTTTAAGGTCAGGCTTGACAAAGCCCTGGCTGGGATGATTTAGTTGGGGATTGGTCCTGCTTTGAGCAGGGGCTCGGACTAGATGACCTCCTGAGGTCCCTTCCAACCCTGATATTCTATGATTCTATGACTTCTCGGGGAGCTGTGAGCAGGAACTCTTGCTGTTGATGATACATTACCCATTATTTCTCTCCCCGTTTCAGAAAGGAGACCTGCGTCCATTGTACACTGAGCTGGTGGTGGGTGTGTGGGAAGGAACTGAGTGCCTCTTTGTGAATATATAGGGCAGGATTTTCTCCTCTCCATCAGGGCCGTTTTGCCACTGTAACTGCTGTGCATTCAACTGACTCACTCATTTAGCTGGGGATCGGGTCCCATTCCCTCCACAGGAGCTATGGCCAATTCCCACCAGCTGGGGATCTGGCCCCATTGACTCCAGGGGAGTCAACACCCTAAAAGCTTCCTCCACTAAAGTACTTGATCCTGACTTCTGTTGCGCGAAGGCCCTTTCCAGGTATCTGACAGCAGAAAGTTGGGAGTCAACCGCATTTACACTGCCCAAGGGGTGTGAGAGAGTCTTAGGGCTGTTTCCAAATAAACTGCTAATGTGGCACAATGGACTTGCCGTAGCTGCGGCGCTTCAGTGAAGAGGCTGCCAATGCCAATGGCAGGAGTTCTCCCATTGGTGTAGGTAAGACACCTTCACAAGAGGCACTCGCTAGGTTGACAGGAGAATTCTCCCGTTGACCTGGCAACGTCTACACCAGGGGTCAGGTCAGTTTAACTGCGTGGGTCAGGGGTGTGGAGTTTTCACACCCCGGAGCGATAGTGATACTGCCCTAATTTACTAGTGTAGAGCAGGCCTTCGTGTAATTGGGAATTCAGACCATCCCCAAGACGTGTGTTCCAGATAGACAGGCTCTTTGTGAACCTGTCCTGCAAAGCTGCTCTCATCGCTAGACCCCACTCCCTGACCAGAGCTGGGGTTAGAACCCAAGAGTCCTAGCTCCCAGCCGCCGCGCTCCAACCACTGCCCTCCCAGAGTTGAGGATAGGAGCCAGGAATCCTGATTCCCATCCCCCTCTGCTGTAACCCACCACATCTCACTCCTCTCCTGGAACGGGGGATAGGACTCAGGAGTCCTGGCTCCCAGCCTCCCCTGCTCAAAGCTACTAGGCCCCACCCCATTTCTTCCCTTCCCTTCGCCACCCCTCCCTGAGCCAGGAATAAAACCCAGGAGTCCTGGGTCCCCACCTTCTGCCTGCAGTATTCATTCAAAATTAACCCCTGGCCCTGCCGCGTCTGTTCCAGGTGGACGGAGTCTTTGTGGCCCTGCCTTTCTACCATGAGGAGAAGCTACAGGCTTACGTCAGCGGAGCCCAAGTCCTCATCAAGACCGCCTTCGCGCTGAGGGTGACCTTCGACGGGAGCCTGGTCCGGGTCACTGTGCCCAACACCTACGCCAACGCCCTCTGCGGCCTGTGCGGTGACAACAACCAAACTGCCAGTGACGACCTGACCATGAGAGACGGGAGACGGGCAGCCAACGCCGTCCAGTTCGCAGAGAGCTGGAAGGTGGGGGAGGTCCCGGGCTGCTCAGACAGCTGCACCGGGAAGTGCCTGGTCTGCAGTGAGGCTCAGAGACAACCCTACAAGGGAGATCGGTACTGCGGGGTCATCACCAGAGGGGACGGACCGTTCAGAGAGTGCCACGGAGTCATCGACCCAGCCCCTTTCTTTGACGACTGCGTCTTTGACACCTGCCAGTACAAGGGTCTCCGGGATGCTCTCTGCAGTGCCATCAGCGCCTACGTGATGGCCTGCCAGGCCAGGGGCATCCGGATAGGGCAGTGGAGATCGGCCTCATTCTGCAGTGAGTGTTGCCTAATAGAATCTGCTTTAAGGACTGGCTAGTGTCCATGTGCAGCACCCCTCTGCAGGGTCGGCTCAGAAGGGCTCAGCCGTGTGTCTCTGGCTCTATACAGTCCTATCAGCTTGCAGTAGTTTGCCTACAGTGTCATACAGCAAGGGTCACCTACCTCAGCTTGCTTTATCTTTGTGCTATAACAATGTAATCCTGTCCCCTTGCCAGCACCTTTCTCCCAGGGTTTGGAAACACTTTGCAAACACAATTCATCCTTCCCATCCGGGTGCAGGAAAACGGAGGCAGAGAGAACTAAAGTGATTTGCTCAAAGTGACACGAGAAGCCAGTAGCAGAACCCAGGAATCCTGACTCCCAGTCCTCCGTCACTAAACAATACACAGCAACCCACTGCCAGAATTTGGGACTCAACTTGGAACACATCCCTTTGTCTGCAACTTTTACCACCAGACCAAACGCCCCTCCAAGTGTCAGAAAGAAAACCCAGGAATCCTGACTCCCAGTCCGCACTGCTTTAACTCTCTTGACCTGACTGCCCTTCCACATCTGGGATACAACCCAGGAGTCCTGACTCCCAGCCCCTCCACTCCCCTCCCAGAAATAGGAATAGAACCCAGGAGTCCTGGCTCCCAACCCCCCAGAACAATCCTATTGTAAGTGATATGAATAGAGAGAGATTTCTGTCCACTTACCTGCACATTTCTTCTTTCTCTCACCCGCCATCTGCACGTTCCCTCTGATCTTCTCCTGCAGGCCCCACCTGCCCCCGTAACTCCCACTACGAGCTCTGTGGGAGCGGCTGCCCTGCCACCTGCCACGGGCTCTCGGCGCCGGACGGCTGCGATGCCCCCTGTGCCGAAGGGTGTTTCTGCGACGCCGGATTCACCCTGAGCGGAGACCGGTGCATCCCCGTCGCACAGTGCGGCTGTGTGCACCAGGGCAGGTACTACAGGAAGGGAGAGGAGTTCTACCCCAGCGCCTCCTGCCAGGAGCGCTGCTTATGCAAAGACAACGGGGTCGTTGAGTGCCAGGAGGCCTCCTGTGGAGCCAATGAGGAGTGCAGGGTGGAGAACGGAGTCCTGGGCTGCCACGCCACGGGATATGGAACATGTGTAGCATCTGGTGACCCTCACTACATCTCCTTTGATGGACGGGCCTTTGACTTCCAGGGCTCCTGCACTTACACCTTGGCCAAGGTTTGCAGCAGAGACTCTGGACTGGGGAACTTCTCTGTGGTGGTGGAGAATGAGAGCCCTGGTGGTGGCCACATGGCTGTGACGAGGACAGTGGTGGTGTCGCTGCATGGTTACACCATCGCCATGGAGAGGGGGAGGAAGTGGAAGAGTGCGGTAAGTCCCTGTTTGAGATTAGTCTTCATAGCACTAATGAGTGATGTGTGTGTGTGTGTGTGTGTGTGTAAAAAACACCCCAGGACACTGCTGAGTCCCCATCAGTGACGGGTGAATTTCTCTCTCATTGGCACAGGTGGGTGGTGAGCTCTACACCCTCCCACTGGCTACGGACGATGGGAAACTTCAGATCAACCAGGAGGGGAACAACCTCATTGTCCAATCTGCCTCTGGCCTCCAAGTCTTTTATGACACTGCCTCCTACCTCCTAGTGTCCGTCCCCAGCACCTACAAGGGACACGTGTGCGGCTTGTGTGGCAACTTTAACGATGACAAGAACGACGATCTCCTGCTGCCCGGTGGGACGAGTACCCAGAATGTGGATGAGTTTGTCGCCTCCTGGAAGGTGCCTGTTGATGCTGCCACATGCTCCGATGGCTGTGGTGAGAAGTGCCCCGTCTGTGATGCAGCCCAGACAGCGCTGTACCAGACTGAGAGCTCCTGTGGGCTGATCACAGCCACCTCGGGTCCCTTCAGACACTGTCACTCAATAATCAGTCCTGTTGAGTACTTCAGCCACTGTCTCTATGACTTGTGTGCCACCAACGGAAGGGGAGAGACCCTCTGCCAGAGCCTGCAGGCCTATGTGGCTGCATGCCAAGCAGCTGGGGCCAAGATGGAGACCTGGAGAACTCCCCCCCCCAAAATTCCCTAAACCCGTTTCACATAAATCTTTTTCACCAAAAATGCGCCTCCAGATTGACTGCCGTAACGTCTGAAAAACCCAAAAAAAAAAAAAAAAAAAACTTACCCCCCAAAAAGGGCCCACAGAGTCACAGGACAATCTACATCCCAAAAACCTGTGTTGGCAAAAAACACAGTTCTTACTCTCAGGTTGGGTGCAGCAAATCAGATCCACTTTATTATCTCAAGCAATTGCAGAGAGGGAGAGAGTGCACTGGGACACAGGGTTTCCCCCACCTAGGCAGGTCTCTCCCAGATAAACAATTAGAGTAAGTATTTATACCTTTATTACAGACAATAATAAGTAACAACTGCATATTGTTTAGACATATTCCTTCATGATATCTTATTTTTCTTACCATTTCTCTTATAGTCAGCATTCTAGACTTATCTAATACAAGGTCACGACAGCCTCTTTCACAGTTCTTTTCCACTTGCTTCGCACTATCCCCGCTTCTACAAAGCTCGCGTTATTAAAGCTAAAGATAGCCTGACTCCTGCTCATTTCAGAGGCCTGCATCCAAATTCCCTTTATCTACTTCCACACCTGGGTTGACTGGAACTGAAACCATTTTTTTTTCTAATGTTTTCTTTTCACTGGAAAACTTGACGAAAAAGAATAATTTTGAATTGACCAAAATATTTTGGGTTGACTTGAAACAATTTTTTGGCCAAGTTTTTTGTTTCAGCTCCACCATTTTGGTATGGCTTTCACGTGAGTGTGTGTGTGTGTGTGTGTGTGTGTGTGTGTGATTTTGTTTTTAATTGGCCAAATTTGGAGACAAAATTCTGTTTTGAAATGAAAAGTTGGAAAAAAAATCCCATCTTAACTATAAAAAAAACCAACATGCTTTTTCCATCTGAAAATATTCATTGAATTTGACCCAAATGAAAAATGCATTTTTCTGCAGAAATTCTGCCTCACCCAAACATTTTGCCTAGCTCTGTTATTTGCACAGGTCTAATAACTATGCCCATGGTGGAATCAGTTTTTCATCCCTCATTATCCTTTACTTCTCTCTCTCCAGCTTTCACCTGCCCGGCCAACAGCCACTACGAGCTGTGCACTAGATCTTGCGATTTCACCTGCGCTGGCTTGTTCTCCCCTGCCCAGTGCACTGCAAAATGCTTTGAAGGCTGCCAGTGTGAAGCCGGCTACGCATTCAATGGGGAAACGTGCACGTCCATGGAAGGATGCGGCTGCGTGCATGATGGACGCTACATCAAGGTGGGTGCTGGGATATGAGTCGGCTGTCGTCCTGGATGCTGTCATTTTGCATCGGATGCCCTTGTAGGTGTGGGATTGTCCCAGCTTCCCACTGGGAGTCACAGTGACTGTGTGTCTGTGCTCTTCAGTGCACTGACACACCAAAACCTACAGCTAGGTCCTGCCTTCAGTCACCCATGTGACTTCTGCTGCAGTCAGCGGCATTTGGTTAGATGAGCATCCAGACACCTGCCCTGTGTGATCCATGCACGTGGAAATGAAACTATGCCATGAACTAGGGATTCATCACAGGAAAACCAAGGGATTGGATGGAAAATGGGATATGGAGCCCTTCCCCACTAGAGGGCGCCGGCTCTGATCCGGCCCAGCGTGGGACACTGGCTGGCTTAAGGGGGGTAGGGAATGGGACATACTGCCTTTCCCCTCTAGGGGGCTGCAGGTCTAATCCTGACCCCAGTTAGGGTAAGTGGCTGGCTTGGAGGATGGGGAATGGGATAGAGGTCCTTTCCTGTCTAGAAAGTTCATGAACTTATCATGTTCCATCTTCAACCCAGTCAGGTTCCTTGCTCCCATTCCTCCTGGTGGGTGGCCATTCCAGAACCTCCCTCCTCCTATGGTTGGCAACTTTTGTCTGATTTCCAGCCTTAATTGAGTCATGTCCCTTTGTCTCTGTTGAAATCACAGGTAAAGAAAGAGTGTTAGCCTGCTGAGTGAACTTGGGCAAGACACTACCCCTCTTTGTGCCTCAGTTTCCCCATCTTAGAACGATACTGATCTCCTTTGTAAAGCACTTTGAGGTGCACTGATGCAAAGAGCTATAGAAGAGCTGGGTGGTGTTGTTATTATTACTGCCCATTTCTTATCAAAGGCAACAGTTGCAGGGTAATTGGAGCACTGGGCTAGGAATTAAACTTGGGTTCAGTTCCTGGCTCTGCAATGATCTCGGAGAAATCATGTCACTTCTTTGGCCACAGTTTCCCCTCTCCCCCTTGTAAACTCTTTGGGGTTCTCTGCTCTCCAGTTGAGGTTTGGTCCCCTGGGGGACGTCTTCACTGCAGAGTAAACTCAGGCGCTTCCCTGAATGTTGTCCCTTCCCCTCACCCCTATCCACCCAAACTTCTCAGAAAAGCGAACAGAATGTTAGAAGCCATTAGGAAAGGGATAGATGGTAAGACAGAAAATATAATTATGCCATTATATCAAGTCCTGGTATGCCCACAACTGGAATACTGAGGGCAGTTCTGGTTGCCCCATCTCAAAAAAGATATTAGAATTGAAAAAGGTGCAGTGAAGGGCAACAAAAATGGTTAGTGGGATGGAACAGCTTCTACACAAAGATGAAAAAGACTGAGGCTGTTCGTTTTAGAAAAGAGACGGCTATGGGGGGATGTGATCGAGAGCTATACAAGCCGGAGTGGAGTGGAGAAAGTGACTAGGGAAGTGTTATTTACCCCTTCACGTAACACAAGGACCAGGGTCACCTGATGAAATTACTAGGCAGCAGGTTTAAAACTAACAAAAGGAAGCACTTCACACAACACACAGTCAACCTGTGGAAGTCGTTGCCAGTGGATGCTGTGAAGGCCAAAACTATAACTGGGTTCAAAAAAGAATTAGATAAATTCATGAAGAATAGGGCCATCAGTGGCTATTAGCCAAGATTTTCAGGGTCCCAACCCCATGCTCTGAGATGTCCCTAACCCTCCAACTGCCAGAAGCTGGGAGTGGATGACAGGGGATGGATCACACACTAACTGCCCTGTTCTGTTCATTCTTTCTCCAAGCATCTGGCACTGGTCACTACCAGAGACAGGATATTGGACTAGATGGACATTGGTCTGACCCACTATGGCCATTCTGATGTTCTCACCTGAGTTCAGTGGTTCTTTCAGCCCAGGTTGGCTGGCCCATCCATGGGGTGGGGTGGGAGGATGGGGTTGGACCCCGGGTGCTGTTTACACTCAGACTGGTAACAGCCACTTTGCCATGAGGACATAGGCTAAATCACAGATAGCCCTCCTGTGCCACAATTCACTGGGGAAGAATTCCTGTGTCATGGATTCACAGGGGCTGGTCCATGCTCCAGGCTGTAACTAGTCCCTTGGAGCAACCTTTAGTGTGCCGGGCCCCAAGGACCCACACAGCTCCACAGGGACAGGCCCATGGCCCCATGAGTCCTGCAGTTGGCCCTTTGGGTACCAGTGATCCCTTGTCTCTCCATGGCTCCCTGCAGCGAGTCCAGCCAAGCTAGTACTCCTGTGGGAGTTTTTGTTCCTACCTCTTCAGGGTGCAAAGCCCTCAGTGAGACTTTGCAGTGACACCAGGCCATCTTTTCAAGGTAACAGCTTGTTAGTCCCCTGGCTACAGCATCTGAAAGGCCTTGGGTTAGCCCAGAGAAGCAAAGGTCACGGCAGAATTCAGACTGGCTAATGCCTGGGCTCCCTTGAGCCATGCTGCTGGAGGAACCATGTTGCTTCCTCTCTTTGTCTCTGTCCCTTTGTCTCCATCTCAGGAGAGAGCCCCTGTGAGCTAAGCTCTGCACCCAGCCACCTGTCACCTTTCCCCTTCATTCTCCTGCTCAGACATTTGCTCTGCTTCATTGCAGCTAAATTCCTGTCTCTTGGTAGTTGGTCAGAGCAGGTGAATGTCCCAGCCTCTGCTGACCCTCATGGGGCCATTGTCTCTTCCAGACCCTCTTCCAGTTCACATGCCTAGACTTTATTCCATTTGTTATTGACTCTGGCCTCCAACCAGGTGGCTACATGAGTCCAACACCTCACCCCTTCCCTTTACACTCAGTGCACAGCAGTACAAAGCACCGAGGGAAACTGAGGCGCATGTAGATCTGATAAAGTATTACCAAAATTCCCAAATTTGGCACACCTAGAGCACACAGGGTGGAGCTCAGCATCGGGGGGACACAGCATCGGGGGGACACTGGGGTAGGGTTTTGTAGTGTGGCTGCTCACTCCTGGTCGAGGCTACCCCAGAGGAAGAAAGATCTCCCAAGATAACTCTGCAGTAAAGACATACCTTTTGGGGCAGGGACTGTGTCTTACTATGTCTATGTACAGCACCCAGCACAACTGGACCCTGGTCTCGGTTGGAGCAGGGAGAATCGCTCACTATTTATTTGGACAGCACCCAGCGCAATGGGACGTCAGCATGCTACTGTAATTTTAAATAATGAAAGGGAGCTTTGAGTTGATCCCATCCTGGGAATTTTCTCCTGATGCTTTCCTGTGACAAAGTTGTTTGGGAATGTCTCTGCAGGCCGGGGAGAGCATCATCTCCGGTGCTTGCTCCGAGAAGTGCACCTGCCAGGCCTCAGGCGGGCTTGTCTGCGAGCCACACAGCTGCCCCGAAAAGGAGATCTGTGCGCTCCAGGACGGGGTGCGCGGCTGCGTGAAGCAGGAAGGCCGGTGCACGCTGCTCCCCGGAGCCCAGCTCACCTCCTTCGACGGTGCCTCTGGAGGAGATCTCCACAGTGGAGCTTACGAGCTGGCCTCTCTCTGCAATGACAGCGCCCCCTCCTGGTTCAGGGTGGTGGTGGATGTCAGGGCATGCAGCGATGGGGCAGTGATGGCTGGGACAACCGCCTACATTTTCTTCCAAGATGCTTTCATAGCTGTGAAAAGGAACAAGGAGACCTGGGTAAGAGGGGGCCGCGTTAGAACAGCCTGAGGCAAAGGGGCAGGAGGCTCATTCAGCTGCCACCAAAATGATGAAAAGTCTAAAAATTACAGTGATGTTGATCCGTAACTGAGGCCGATCTGGGCATCTCAAAGATCAAGTCACTCAGCCTCATGAGCCCCCTGTTGACAGGACATGGTGTACAGGCTGTGGGGGATGACATGAGTTATGGATAAACAATTATTCAGTAGCAAAGACTGAATTAGAACCCAGGAGTCCGGACTTCCCCCTGTTCTAACCCACTAGAGTCCACTCCCCTTCCAGAGCTGGGGAAGCAATCCAAGAATCCTGACTCCCAGCCACCCCTTCACCCCTGTTGTGTCCCACCTCTGATGTTGGAGGAGAGGCAGGGAACTATTTTAGGAAGGGTCTTTGTGACCCAGTCCCTGGGAGAGATCCCTCCTTTCACTGGGGCACCTGGCCATTGAGGGAAAGACCACCCCATCCTGGGGAGCCCTGTCCACTGTGGGGAGCGAGATTGCCCCCATGGGAAAGAGGGAGGAATCCGAGGCAGTATCATGATGTCACATTCGGAACTCAGTAACCTGAAGAAGATGTTTGCAGTGTTGCTGTAGGCATGTTGGTCCCAGGATATTAGAGAGACAAGGTGGATGAGGTGATCGTTTGTATTGGACCAACATCTGTTGGTGGAAGGAACAAGCTTGCAAGCTACACCATCGTGAAGAAGAACTCTGTGTAGTTTGAAAGCTTGTCCCTTCCACCAAGAGTAGTTGGTGCAATAAAAGATATCACCTCACCCACCTTGTCTCTCTCTTGATTGGCTGCTGTCATTTATGCAAATAAGTGCAAGTATCATTAATCAAATATGTAAATTGAGGGAATTAAAATATTTGCATAAAGTCTCTAGAGTTCTTGACTTTTCCCACTAAGAGACACAATTGCTCACAGGTCAATAACACTGAAGGCAGGAGGGACGTTTGCCAATCAAGTTGCCTATGCAAATCAGAGCACCTTCATTGGGTGTTGAGAGAATCGGAACAATTTGCTCTCCAGGGCACTGTTTATTGATTGGCTCCTCCGTCAGTCTTAGTGTTTTCTGCACCTCTCAGTCTAAGTCTATTGCCTTATAATGTGGCCCGAAGACTCTAGTCCCCATTGCCAGTTACTGTGGCCCCTAGACTCTAGATCTTGTTGCCATGTAATGGGGCTGATGGACTGTAGCTCAGTCCCCTCCATTCACCCCCACATTTCCCAGTTCTCCTCTGGTCTAAGTCTGTGTGTTCCAGGTGAATGGGCGCCCAGTGCCTCTCCCTGGCAAAGATCTCCGATGCTGTGTCTGTGCACAAGTCTCAGGGCGGCGTGGCCGTGGTCCAGGCCTCGGGGATGATGGTTCTGTTCAGCCCCAGTGGGGAGGTGACGCTGAGAGTCGGCGAGAGCCTGGCTAACAAGCTGTGCGCATCCTGTGGGAACTTCAATGGCGACGTCTCTGACGACCTGCGGCTGCCCAGCGGGAAGGTCGCAGGGAACATCACTGAGGTCATCGATGCCTGGAAGGCCAGAGACTTCTCTGGGTGGTGAGTGGCTCTGCAGATGCCGCCCTTTCCTCTGATCTTTCTATGATGGACTATAGGTACCTCCCTGGGGAGGAGATTTCTGATAGCAGAGGGCTTCTTATCTCGCAGACAAAGGCAGAGCAGGTCCCAGGGTCTGGAAGACAATGTTAGAAAGGTTCAGATCAGAAATAAGATGCAACTTTTTCCACAGAGAGAATAATTAACCATTTGAGCACCTCACCCAGGGGTGAGGTAGATTCTCCATCACTTGCTAGTCTTTATAGCTCAACAGACCAGCCATCTAAAAGATACACTGCAGTCCAGCCACTAGCTACTGATCATGAAAGCATCCCCTTACACAGCAGCCTAGTGTAGTTCTTTCCACACTGCAGGAAATTCCCTGGCCTGTGCTGACTACATAACCTAATGGTCCCTTCTGGCCTTAAAATCTATGAATTCATTGCAAAGGAATCTTACTGAGACACTGTCCCAGTCCTGAAGGTGGCTGACTAACTCCTCTCCTGTTTTTGTCTTCTAGTGATGTCTAAACAAAATCCTGGCTGCTGAAGCATCTTCCCTCCCTGGAGTGGACCCTGCTGCCATCTTAGCTAGGAATTGCTCATAGTGCCATAACTGTAGCCCTCGTGACTTTCTGTGTCCTCTAGGGTATGAAATGAGAAAACGACTTTGTTCTGATTGTCAGTAAAAACAAATAAACCTGCAGATACGATTGTGAAGCAATAAACTCATTTTTGCAAACTTCATCCAGTGATTTTATTATCACAGCCTGTTTCTTTCTATCTTAACGTAATTTCCTGACACAGTGGAAGAGAACAAGACAGATCTTTTTGTTCCATGTCTGTACAGAGCCGAGCACAATGGAGTGATGGTCCATGACAAGGACCCCCAGATGCAACCACAGTACAAAGAGGTAATAATAATAATAATGCATTCTGCTAATAAAACTCATGAGTACGGATGAAGTTCAGCCCAAGAGGTAGAAAAATCTGTTTCTCAAATGGAATGTCTTCACTTGTATTCCCCATGGTAGCTGCATATGTCTGTGTAAATCAATAAAGTTGGGTGCTACATTGGCCTTGGGGAGAAGAAAGACAACAGATGTGCAGGAGTTAACAAGCTGGCTACATCATTGAGGGCAGAGTTAGAGAGGCTTCAGCAAAGAGCTACAAGGATGTCTGAAGAAGAGGGCCAATAGAGCAAGACTTAAGGAGCTCAATCTTCATCAAAGAGAAGGTTAAGAGATTATTTTACCTCTTTATTTGGCACTGATGGAACCACAGATGGAATACTGTCTCCATTTCTGGTGTCTACAGTTCAAGAAGGATGTTGATAAATTGGAGAGGGTTCAGAAGAGAGATACGAGAATGATTAAAGGAATAGAAAACACGCTTTTATAATGAGAGACTCCAGCAGCTGTCTATTTAGTAGAACAAAGAGAAGATTAAAGGGTGACTTGATCCCAGTCTATAAGTACCTACATGGGGAACAAATATTTAATAATGGACTCTTCAATCTGGCAGAGAAAGGTCCAACACAATCCACTACCAGGAAGTTGAAGCTAGACAATTTTATACTGGAAATAAGGTGTAAATTTTTAACAGTGAGAGTAATTAGCCATTGGAACAATTTATCAAGGGTTACATGGTGAATTTTCCATCACTGGCAATTTTTAAATCAAGATTGGCTGTTTTTCTAACAGATCTGCTCCAGGAATTATTTTGGGGAAGATCTCTGGGCTGTGTTATAGAGGAGGTCAGACTACATATGATCACAATGGTCTCTTCTATCCTTGAAAGCTATGAATCTAAAAGATGTCTGGACTAGTGCTTGTAAACTAGAGCAGTGTAAATAATGAATGTTTCAGTTTGCTGGCACTTCAAAGAAATAAAAAAAAATAATTTTGAGTGTTTCTTTCCATTTCTGAGAATTTTAAACAAAATCTTTTAACATTTTGAGTTGACTTTCCCCACATTCCATTTTCATTTTTTTAAGGGTAAAAAATCCCCCAAATCTACATTTAAGAAGGATATCTTCATCTTTGAAACCCTCTCAACCCCCTCTCTCAGGAACCCCTCCACCTCCGGGAACCGTCATTTCTAAGCCTTAGCATGCCTGTTTCGCAACATGGACCCCCTCACCCCCCCCCCCCCCAAACCTCCCCTTCATTTAGAACCATTGTGAACACAAGAAAAAAGAAGAAACCCCCCCACTTCGTCACATCTCTCCCCCTTTCAAGTCTGAACTGAACGGGGTCACTTAGCCTCAAGCTAAAACTGCTATAGAATGGGAGATCCAGGATATGCTAAAGATGGGTGTAATCCGCCCCTCTGGCAAGGCATGGGCATCGCCAGTGGTTCTAGTTCCCAAACCAGATGGGGAGACACGTTTTTGCGTGGACTACCGTAAGCTAAATGCTGTAACTCGCCCAGACAACTATCCAATGCCATGCACAGATGAACTATTGGACTGTTCATCTCTACCTTGGACTTAACCAAAGGGTACTGGCAGGAACCGCTAGATGAATCCGCCAAGGAAAGGTCAGCCTTCACCACACACGTCGGGCTGTATGAATTTAATGTACTCCTTTTCGGGCTGCGGAATGCACCTGCCACCTTCCAAAAACATATAGATGGTCTCCTAGTGGGATTGGGAGAATGTGCAGTCGCCTACCTTGACGACGTGGCCATATTTTCGGATTCCTGGGCAGAACACTTGGAACATCTACAAAAAGTCTTCAAGTGCATAAGGAGGGCAGGACAAACTGTTAGGGCTAAGAAGTGTCAAATAGGCCTAAACAGAGTGACTTGGACACCAGGTGGGTCAAGGAACTATAAACCCCCTAGAAGCCAAAGTGGATGCTATCCAAAAGTGGCCTGTCCCAAAGTCAAAGAAACAAATCCAATCCTTCTTAGGGAAGTGAGCTGTAGCTCACGAAAGCTCATGCTCAAATAAATTGGTTAGTCTCTAAGGTGCCACAAGTACTCCTTTTCTTTTTTCCAGATATTACAGGCGATTTGTACCGTAATACAGCCAAATCGCCGCCCTACTGACAGACCTAACCAAAAAGAAACAGCCAAATGCAGTTCACTGGACTGAAGAGTGTCAGAAGGCCTTTAACCAGCTTAAAGCGACACTCATGACTGACCCTGTGCTAAGGGCCCCAGACTTTGACAAACCGTTCCTAGTAACCACAGATGTGTCCGAGCGTGGTGTGGGAGCAGTCTTAATGCAGGAAGGACCGAATCAAGAGTTCCATCCTGTCGTGTTTCTCAGCAAGAAGCTATCTGAGATGGAAAGCCACTGGTCAATCAGTGAAAAGGAATGTTACGTCATTGTCTAAGCTCTGGAAAAGCTACACCCATACGTTTGGGGATGGCATTTCCACCTGCAAACCGACCATGCTGCGCTACAGTGGCTTCATACCACAAAGGGAAAGAACAAAAAGCTTATTCGGTGGAGTTTAGCTCTCCAAGATTTTTATTTCAACATACAACACATTTCAGGAGCTTCTAACAAAGTGGCTGATGCACTCTCCCGTGAAAGTTTCCCAGAATCAACTGGTTAAAATCATCCTTGAGATGTGGAAAATATTGTTAGTCTTTATACAGTTAGTAGTATATTTAGAGGTGCATGTGTCTTATTAATTCTGTTTTCTCCAAGAGCTCCAGGAAGAAATCACAGCCAGTGTTTTCACCCTTTCTGTGATTTGGGGGGCATGTCATAAAAATAAAGGGAAGGATAACCACCTTTCTGTATACAGTGCTATAAAATCCCTCCTGGCCAGAGGCGAAATCCTTTCACCTGTAAAGGGTTAAGAAGCTACAGTAACCTAGCTGGCACGTGACCCAAAATGGCCAATGAGGGGACAAGATTCTTTCAAATCTGGAGGGGGGGACAAAGGGTTTTGTCTGTCTGTGTGATACCTGTGCTGGGAACAGATCAAGGATGCAAGCTCTCCAACTCCTGTAAAGTTAGTAAGTAATCTAGCTAGAGAATGCATTAGATTTTCTTTGGTTTTTTTTGGCTTGTGAAATTTGCTGTGCTGGAGGGAATGTGTATTCCTGTTTTTGTGTCTTTTCGTAACTTAAGGTTTTGCCTAAAGGGATTCTCTATGATTTAAATCTGATTACCCTGTAAAGTATTTACCATCCTGATTTTACAGAGGTGATTCTTTTACCTTTTCTTTAAATAAAATTCTTTTAAGAACCTGATTGATTTTTCATTGTTCTTAAGATCCAAGGGTTTGGGTCTGTGTTCACCTGTACCAATTGGTGAGGATATCATTATCAAGCCTTCCCCAGGAAAGGGGGGTGTAGGGTTTGGCGGGATATTTTGGGGGAAGACGTCTCCAAGGGGTCTGTTTCCCTGTTCTTTGTTTAAATCGCTTGGTGATGGCAGTGTATCAGGTTTTTAACCTAAGCTGGTTCCCAAGGCAAGAAAGAAATCTGTGTCTTGGGGAATTTTTAACCTAAGCTGGTAAGAATAAGCTTAGGGGGTCTTTCATGCAGTTCCCCACATCTGTACCCTAGAGTTCAGAGTAGGGAAGGAACCTTGACAACAGTGGTGAATATGAAGTTTCCAGAGTGTCAAAGTGAGGTAATATCTTTTATTGGACCAGCTTCTGTAGGAGAGAGAGACAAGCTTTCCCACTAACACAGAGCTCTTCCTCAGGATCCTCCCACTTCACAGAGGCTTTGACTGATGCATGTTTGGCCATCAGGAGGCCAGCTGTAATTAACCAAGGGGAGAGAAAGGAGTTTCTTGACTTTCTTCTGAAATTCCAAAGAACCGGCCACTCCCACCACACAACCCATGCAAGTGATTTGATCATTAATAGGCCTCTTGCAGCTGATGACGAGTTATTTATTGGGTTTCCAGTGTTCTTGTTGCCATGTTGGTCCCAGGATATTACAGAGACAAGGTGGGTGAGAGAATATCTATTATTGCACCAACATCCGTTGGTGAAAGAGACACACTTTTGAGCTTACACAGAGCTTTTCTTCAGGTCTGAGACGGCTTGTCTCTTTCACTAGCAGATGTTGGTCCAGTAAAAGAGATCACCTCACTGTAGCGAGGTGAAGGCTCACTGGCGCAGCACCTCCTGCTGGTTGTCAAAGAATTAACTCTTTCCAGCCTTCAGAGCACCCTCTGCCACCGGGTGTCTTGCCTGCCTCAGGCCCCGTGTCCCTCCTGGACCCTGGTGCCTCTTTACCTTGGGGTTCTGCCCCCAGCAGTACCCCCTTACTCTGGGTTTCCCCTCCCAGGGGAACCCTCAACTCTCTAAACCCACCTTGCCTCAGTGGCTACTGTCAGTCATCATCTAGCCCCGCTCACTGGGGCAGACTTCAGTCTGCAATAGCCACTCATCATTGGCAAGAGGTTAGGACCTGCTGCCTTTGCCTATCCCTGGGCTGCACCTCTGCAACCCAAGTACCTGCTTTGGCCTTTAATGAGGACTGCAGCCTGGGGGTTGACCAGGCTGGAGCTCCCCAGCTCCCTTTGCCTTTGCCCTTCCCCTTCCCCTTCC